TTGGTGAGTTCAATCCTCACTAGGTGCACTATACTTTCAGTCTTGTATAACATTTAAACTTGATAAGAGTGGTTGGAAGGTAATTATGTATTACCAGGAAGGATATAGAAACAAATGTAAATTAAATTTATTTATATATGATTTGTCAAAAATGTAATCCACTTGGTTTTCAATGAGTGCAGCCCAACAGGAAGTCTGTTAGTTTAAATTTTATTGTGTTTCTTCAGTTTTTGAATATATCATCATTTTCTATGTGCTATATCCCTTCAGGATATAGGCAATCATGGCTCTCCATAATTTCCTGTCTTTTGTAGCTCTTAATAAATTTTGTCTTTTTTGTTATCTCTTTTAAACCTTGTTCTGCCATTCATTAATTCAAGCTTGCTGAGTAGATTATGCATTATTTTCCTCTGTCACTCTTACTTTCAATCTGTCCTGTGGGTATCAGATTTTCCAAGCCCTCTTTCCTCACTATATGCTCTAGAAATTTCAAAATTCTCTTCCTGATGTTAAGTGTAAATTTTGTTTATGTTTCCATTTTCTCTAAAAACTTCATCATTGCTCACATGTTCAGTCCATGGTATTCTCAGCATTCTTCTGTAGAATCATATTTCTGAATTAGGATGTTACAGTGGAGAAAGTAAGTATTTCATCCCCTGCTGATTTTCTGAGTTTGTCACCTTACAAAAATGGGAACGGTCTATAATTTTCAGGGTAGGTCCAACTTAAAAGCGAGAGATAGAATATAAAAAAAAAATTGTACAAAATCACATTATATTAATTTTTGAATATTTATTTCTTTTTTTATTACAAAATAAATATTTCACTCTCTACCAACCAGCAATGATTCAGGCCCCACAGACTGGTTATGTGACCAGGAGGCATATAGACTTATTATTCAATTATTACTCCTAATCAAGTACTCATTATCTGTATAAAAGACACTAATTCACAGAATCCTTCAATGAATCAGAATCTAATCTCTCCACAATGGGCAAGATGAAAGAATTGTCTAAGGACATCTGTGACAAGATTGTATACCTGCACAAAACTGGAATGGGCTACAAGACAATTGGCATGCAGCTAGGTGAGAAGGAGTCAACTGTTGGTGTGATAATAAAAAAAATGGAAGAAACACCAATTGATTATCAATCTCCCTTGGTCTAGAGCTCCACACAAGATCTCCCCCAATGTGGAGTGAACCTGATGATGAGAAAGATGAAGAAACAACCCAGAACTATGCAACAAGACAAGGCAGCTGGGACCACAGTCACCAAGATGACCATAACACACAACATTGTAATGGACTGAAATCATGTAGTGCCTGCAAGGTCCCCCTACTCAAGAAAGCACATGTACAAGTCTGCCAGAAGTTTGCAAATGAGCACGTGAATGATTCAGAGGAGGGTTGGGAGAAAATACTGTGGTCAGACAAGACTAAAATTGAGCTTTTTGGCATCAGTTTGACTCACTACGTTTGGAGGGAAAAAAAAAAGCTGACTTGGACCCCAAGAACACAAATTAAGCATGGTGGTGGAAACATGTTTTGGGGCTGTTTCTCTGCTAAGGAGACAGGACGACTACACCGGGTTGAGGGAAAGATGGATGGGGTCAAGTACAGTGATATCTTGAGTGAAAACTCCTTGCCTCAGCCAGGGCACTGAAGATGGGTCATGGATGTGTGAACCATCATGACAATGACCCAAAGCATATGGCTAAGGCAACAAAGGAGTGGCTCAAGAAGAAGCACATTAAGGTAATGGAGTGGTCTAGTCAGTCTCTAGATCTTAATCCTTCAGAGAATCTGTGGAGGGAGCTGAGGCTATGAGTTGCCCAATGACAACCTACAAAGCTTAAGGATTTGGAGAGGACGTGCAAAGAGGAGTGGGCCCAAATCCCCCCCCCCCTCTAGATCTGTAAAAACTTGGTAACCTACTACAGGAAATGTCTGGCTGCTGTGCTTGCCAACAAGGGTTTATTCACCAAGTTATGTTTTGCTATGGGGGTGAAATACTTATTTTCCCCACTGTATATGACATAAGAATTTTTGAATAAACTGTTCAAAATTCATGTTTTGTTCTGTTTATGTTCAAGTACTTATGACAGTCTCAGTCTATCAATGACTGGGTGTTGTCTGACGGCATGAAAGTATTACAGACAAGATTATGTTGGCTGTATTTTGTCATTTTGTTTGATAGCCTGGATTAAAATTATGACATCATGTGTAAAATAGTTACAAGGAGCTAGATTACACCAGAAAAGTATGTATGAAATATTTATACATTTTTTTTTCACCCTATGCAAGGCAGTAAATCCACTAAGACACAAGGGATTATTGGGTGTGGAAGAATTAGGAACAGAAATATTAATAATGAGTGGGAAGAGAAAAATGTAATCAGGAGGACAGTAGATAACGATTGACATTGCATTTAAATTGTTGCACATTAAAGTTGACTGGAAAGCATGGAGCCAGAAGAGAGTTCCACAAGCGAGAAATGTGAGAAAAGAATCTGTTAGCATAGAATTTACAGCAACAACTAGCCAGCTCAACTGTAAATAGATGAGATCCTGATGCCAGTCTAGTACTGCACTTAAATTCAAAAAGTCTATGTACCATAATAAAGAGATTATCTGAACAATTACCATGAATGTATTTATAGAAAGGGCACAGACAGGCACCACTATGGTGGTGGAAAGTGAATTTAGCTGAGCCATCAGATCAGGACCAATAATATTACTGATTCTTCTTTCGATTTTATCAAGTAGCTCAAACTAAATAGCAGGGTAACCAGACTATATGTAGCAGCAATATTCTAAGCATGGATGAATGGTAGACTTATAGATAGACAGTGAACTGACTTTCATAGCAGCTGACCTAGCAATGGATTCAATATAGTCTTTCCACTTCATGTAAGCAGAGAATGTCAGTCTGAGAAGTTGTAACAAGTCACTTTCTTGGAGGTTAGCACCAGCTATGTTGATATAAAGTAGAGAGGGGTCTGACATATTTTGGAAAATGTTGCCATGTTTTTGTCTGATGTACATCTCGAGATTCTTCACAAAATCCAAAGAAGGATCCATAATGTAATCGATCCTGAGCAGGCATCTCAACTTCAGTTATTTTCTCACCAACATGACATGGCTTCCCTCTGTCTTTTCTACAAATATTTTCATGGCAACTGCTCTAATGAGTTTTTTTTCCTGGTGGCCCGACTACATGAATGTAAGCATGCTACTAGGTTGGCATCTTTTACTGCTGAAGTAACTAAATGCAACAGACACTTCTACTCCAACAATTACTTTTCTTGTACTTCCCATCTGTCGAACCCCCATCCATTTACTTGCTTCCCTAATAACTACAATCATCAAAAATTTAATGCAATATCAATGGCCATATTGTCTCCTCAAGTCCCATTCATCTTTTGTTCTTTCCTCAATCCTATCTATTCACAGTCTTCTCATTCACTTTCAATCCCTGTAACCCCCTGTGTACAAGTGGGTTTTCCATGTTGCTTGGGGTGAAAGGAGAAAATATTAAGTATTCTATACACACCTTTAAGAGAGTATTTCCTGTGGTGAAAGATATTTCCTTTAATATAGGTTCTTTCTTTTGTATAATAATAACTTCTAGAATTTTGAGGTTTGTTTTTTTTGCACTGGGTGTTGTATAGTATTTTAGTATTATCTATTAATACTTGTCATAAGTTGATATACACAAAGATTTGACAAGTGACAAGTCAATCTATGACAGAGTGTGTTATATGTGTAGCCAATGTAAGAATTTAATGTAGTTCTTTGTTGTTTTATACAACAAATATTTAAACAGTCAAATTTAAAGCTGTAGCTGTTTTGAAGTTAGTGTAATTTTTTTTTTTGAACACAGACAATAACTTTATCAGAAGCTCCAGTATTCAAAACTCACTACTTTTTCTTACTAAATATTCACTCAATACATTGGTCCAAAAGACAGTCAATGTAGTGGATTAGGAAATGAAGTTGTTGTATGGATTTAAGAGGAGAACATAGCTGCAGATTATGAGAATATGTAGGATAGATATCAGTTCACTCTTGACTTGAAGAGGTTAAGACTACGTAGTCAAGAAATCATACTCTTTGGAATCTCTTCCACAAAACAGCATCTCTTGGGAAGAAGCTATCCAAATGGAACTTCTTTCTTACCAATGGAATATGAAGAGAAGAAGGATGGATTGCTCCTGTGTAGATCTTAGCTGTAAAGGTCTGAACTGGTAGAATGAGAGAATGTAGCTCATGAGAACATTTGCCATGGAAATAGTGATAAATTATCAAGAAGCTTGCAATATTGTATCAGTGGGAAAGGGGTTTTAGGGTGGGAAATAATTCATCTTCAAATGCTGACATATAAATTTTACTTCTTGCAAGTGCTTTATGTGCATATATTTTTATACCTTTGACAACAAAAAAAAATAATAATTTTACATCTGGCTGTAATATTGAACCAAACATCAGGTAGCTTTATAGTTTGGTATTTTCTGTCTTAGAGTGTGAAGGCAAGGAAAAATCCCTCCCCAGAAGCATACCAAAACTTCAACTGATAGAATGGACAGTATTCTTTGAAATCAAGCCTATTGAATTTGTTCTGGGATCAAAGCAAAAAGTCAGGCTTCTTCAGAGAAGTATGTTTCTGACAAGTTTCTTATCTAATGCCAAAACACACTTTGAAAGGTCTTCTCTTGTGTTATTTTGAAGAACTTTCATTTCTCAGAATAAATTACCCCTAGTCAAGTTCACAGTTGGAAGTGTGTGAGCTACATGCACTTTTCAATGTTGGAAATCAACATTTTTGCCTTTTCAGGAAGTTTCTAAGATAGTAATCTTTAATGTAAGTTTAAAGCTACAAAAGAAAAGATGTGATTTAGAAGAAGAAAAAATTGATATAAATAAATGGAAGATTTCAATAGTGACTGATTACTGAGTAGGTAGAAATGATACTGGAATCGGTTCAGTTTCTTGTGAAGAATATGATACTTGAAATGACAAACTTCTTTATATATTTCTTTTTCATTCTTTCCTCTCAATGGACTCTTTTCCTTCTATCTTCATTTCTTATTATTTCATTCATGTTTACCCAGCTGTTGCAAAAAAATGCACTTTCATTTTTTGTCATTATTTTTTCCTTTTTTCTTAATTTTGTTAAGATTTATTCTCTGAATTGCAGTTTTATTTAATTATTTTCTTCAATTTTCAAATGGATATTAATTCCATCATTCATTTGAGGATCCATCACTTGGGTTTAACTCTCCTAATTTTGCTCACTTTTGCTTTTTTTCATTTACTTTCTCTTTCGTATTTCATTCCTTTTGTATTCATTTCCCCCCCCCATCACTCTTTCATTCACCTTTTCTCTAAAATTTCATTCATTTTGTATTTTGCAATCAGATATTCATTTCTCTCCCTATCACTATTTCATTCATCTTCTCTATCCTATTTCATTCCTTTTGTATTTTTCAATCAAATATTCACTTCTTTTCTTATGACTCTTTCATTCACTTTCATATTTCATTCCTTTTGGATTTTTCAATCAAATATTCACTTCTTTCCTTATGACTCTTTCATTCACTTTCATATTTCATTCCTTTTGGATTTTTCAATCCGATACTTATTTTTCCTTATCCTCTTTCATTCACCTTTTTTCATATTTCATTCCTTTTGTACTTTTCAGTCAGAAATTCATTTCTTTCCTTATGATGCTTTCATTCACTCTTTTATATTTTATTCCTTTTGTATTTTTCAATCAGATATTCATTTCATTCTCTAACACTCTTTCCTTTACTTTTTCTCACATATTTCATTCCTTTTGTATTTTGCAATCAGATATTTATTTCCCTTCCATTCACTCTTTCATTCACTTTCTCTTTCATATTTTTCAATCTGATATGCATTTTTCTCCCTATCAATGTTTCAAATGACTTATCTTCCAACTTCTAGTTTTGCAGATACACTATTCCATTTATTGGGTTATGATAAACCTACTGAATTCATTAATTGGTATCATATTTATTTATTATTCATTTTAAATATGCTACCAAAATAATGCCAATCATTGACACCAACCAAATTTTTAAATTGTTGCAATATGACAATATTTTAATGTTCAAAAAACCTTTTAATGTGAACACATTCAATCTGCAATTGTTCCATTATATATTCCATAATTTTACCACAATAATAAGTATTTGTATGAAAAGTTTAAGGAAAATAAATCTAGCAAATGTTTACCAATTATCACATAGTTTATTAAATATGAGACAAATTTAAATTATCATATAATTTACATTTGCTGATGATTTAAAATAAATAAATATAATAGGTGTTAATGAATTCAGTTAATTCATTTTATTCTGGCAAGTGGGGCAGTGTGTTTACATAATTTGACGCTGGAAGATAAGTGCTTCAAATTTTTATTTATTTGCTATATTAATCAAATTGTTAATACTGAACACTTTGACTACTAAAATCTGTTCACTTTTAAATGTGTTACCCTCCATTAATTCACTGCTGAACATGCTTTGTTAAGCCTTACCGAGCTTTGTTGTTATTAATATTTTACTTATATATAATAATTTATGTACAGTATTAACAGGTCTGTTGATATATATGTGAGTTTGAAGCTTCTTTTTTCTTCCTCTTTACCGTAATTTGTTTTTCATTCCATCTGCTTCCACTCTCTCTCTTATTTTGTTCTTTTTCTTAATTTCTTCCTAAATCTATCCTCTCTCTCTCTCTCATTTCTTTTGTTTTTCAATCTATCTTCTTTGTTTCTTTCCTTGTTCCAGGATCTATCTTACTACTCTTTCTCTTTCTCTTTTCCAATCTCTTTTATTTCTTTCACTTGCCTTTTCTTTCTCTTAATTTTTTCTTGTCTTTCTCTTTCTTTTTTTAAATTTGTTTTTCACTGTCTTCTTTCTCTTTATTTTTGTTAATTTGTTTTTCAGTCTATCTTCTTTTCTTCTCTCACTCTATCCCTACATTTGTTTCTTTTTCTTAATTTGGTTTTCACTCTCTTGTAGAGTAGTTTCACAGTGGAGGCTCGTATTTCACTAAGTCGGTCCTAAAAAGGTTCGACGTACAAAACGTTAGGAACTTGATATAATAAACGCAGAGAAATCTAGTGGTGGTTGCTGATACTCTTCATGTCCGACATCGACTGAGTGACCAACTCACTGAGCCACTGACTTAGCGACTGCTACTACTACTACTTATTATAGGTGGGAGAGTCTATTAACTATAGAATAGGTGTGTTCCAGTATACACTCTACATTCATTCTCTTTCTCTTCGATAGTGTTGTTCTACAACACATGATCAATAGTCAACTATTTTCTCATCTGACTCTTTTCTCTATACTTTATTTCTGCTATAACCAACATATGCAAATGGGTAACATCTTATTTACCAATCCCATTACACCACCCTGAACAGAAGAGGTTTAATACCTTTGGTTGTTCTCAAACTTCTTCTACAACCTCTTTCCTCCTCTTCCCCTTGTGGCTTATGTCCTGTTCTTTTTAATAGAGATCTTTATCTCATCTTCTTTCATGCCTGAGTCACTTCCATTATCATCTATAGGCTCATTATCCTGATCTGAAGAACTCATCATTTCTTCTTTGTCAAAATCTTCTTCCACCATAACATCTTCCTCTTCAATTCTGGGGCTTAATTGGTCATTAAGCTTTTACCTTTCTTTGATGTAATGGCTGTATTATGTTCCCTTTGCATGATGAAATTCGCTCTCTCAGAACTTGCTACTTTGTCTTTCTTATATCACAACTTTTCATTTATTGAGTAAGACATTGTTAATGGAGATCATATTTGTCTTCCCATTAATGCTGATGATCTTTGCAATCTGTCTACATGTGAAATCGTCCTATAGCTAAGCAGTAACCTTGATAAGTAACTGTCTATAGTATCTATACTTGGGGAAAATGCCTTTAATCCCATTTTTATTGTCTGCACCATTCTTACTGGAATGTCATTAAATTATGGGTGATACAGTGATGTTTTGTAAAGGAAGCAGCCAATCCAGTTAAACCAATTACATAAATCTACATCACAAAATTTTGGTGCGTTTTCTGATACTAAGGAAAGTTGGCTCCCTGTGCTGCACTAGGAAATTTTTCTCCCTGGAATTGATCCTTCAGATCTACAAATCAACAATTTGCCATTGCATGGTGTATTGCTGCCATATATGCTCTGGAGCCTCTTTTGTTTGCCTCAGGGTTCTTGATAGGATCCAGAGGCAGATATGCAATATAATTGGCCCTGTTCTGGCATCTCGTCTACAGTCACTCTCTCACAGATGTGTTGTCGCCTCTCTGTCTTTTTTACAAATACTTTCATGATAATTGCTCTGAGGAGCTGCATTCGCTGGTTCCCAGACTTCATGAATTCAAGTGCTCTACGAGGCTGGCATCCCGCTCTCACCCTTTCACTGTTGAAACTATTAAAGGAAGCCGTCTCTTCTACTCCAATAGCTTCCCTATTCCAGTTTCCCTGAGAGCTATAATCTCCAACTATTCAAATGTAATGTCAATCGACATCTCCAATTGCCTTGATCTATCCACTATCCTTCTCCTCATCCTTTCTTCTATCACTCCTATCTGATCTTGTTCCAAATCTTCTGTAACCCATGATTTGTCTTCTGCAGTTATAGCAAATTTTTCCAAAGCTAGGGAACTTTTTTCTGTCAATTTCATGCTCATACTTACAGTATTTTTATTTCTTGCGTTCCTTTTGTATACTAAATGTTTCAACATTGTCCCCAGTCGAATTATACTTTTCAATCAATTCCAACTGTTGTATAACTTCCTCACATGCAGTCAGAGACAAATTATTCAATTGTAATTGTTCCAAGACATAAATTTATGATATCTCAGCCATACCTTCAATCATCTCCAATTGAATCAATTTGTCATCTAGAGTCTAATCTTGAGTTCCCAGTTTCTCAAATTTGCAAAATCTGCTATCTTCTCTTAATCTGGGAAGATATTATATAATTGATTCATCTCGTTTCTGTTTATTGGACAGAAATTTGGTTTTATCCGTGATGACAAGTTTCTTTTTAGGTCATAAATTTCTTTTTATCATTTTTGAAATTTTGATGAAATTCCAATTCTCCAACTGTTTGGTGTATACCATAACCATTATAGCCTCACAACCTGCTGAAGCTGGTAAGAAGTCAGTTTCTGTCTATATTTCTGAGATGAGGTATTATGTACACTATTTACATTATTTGGACTATTGTCTTCATCTTTGTTGCCATATTTATCACACTTCAGTTTCAGTCTGTATTTCTGAGATGAGGTATTATGTACACTATTTACATTATTTGGACTATTGTCTTCATCTTTGTTGCCATATTTATCACACTTCAGTATCTGTCTATATTTCTGAGAAGAGGTATTATGTACACTATTTACATTATTTGGACTATTGTCATCTTTGTCGCCATATTTATCACACTTCAGTATCTGTCTATATTTCTGAAATGAGGTATTATGTACACTATTTACATTATTCGGACTATTGTCCTCATCTTTGTCACCATATTTATTACAACATTTCGGTCTTTCAGTATCTGTCTATATTTCTGAGAAGAGGTATTATGTACACTATTTACATTATTTGGACTATTGTCTTGATCTTTGTTGCCATATTTATCACACTTCAGTGTCTGTCTATATTTCTGAGATGAGGTATTATGTACACTATTTACATTATTTAGACTACTGTCCTCATCTTTGTTGCCATATTTATCACAACGTTTTGGCCATTGTATGTTCCGACTTTCTTCAGGTGGTTGCAATGTCAAACTGAACCTTTTATTTCGCTCACTGGGGTAGACTGTTCTAGTTCCACATGCCATGTTTGAGAGGTCAGTTATTTCACTTTCCCCACCTCTTGCTTTACTGCTCTCAATGTTTTAGCCCTCACCTGGGCAAAAAATCATGAGATCCAAGTCTTGACCAATTCTGGTTGGCCCAAGTGAATTAAAGATCCTATCAGGAATGCTATATTGTTGTATAGTGTTATTCTCTGACATGTGATCAGTAATTAACTATTTCCTCATCTGACTCTTTATTCTATATTTTATTTCTCCTATAACCTGCATATGCAAATGGGTAACATCTTATTTACCAATCCTGTTACACCTCTGAATTGAAGAGGTTTAATGCCTTTCATTGTTTTGAACTTCTTCTACAACCTTTTTCCTCCTCCTCCTCCTTTTCCTTGAGGTTTATGTCCTGTTCTTTTTAATGAAGATCTTGGTTTCATCTCATCTTCTTCCATGTCTGAGTCACTCCTGCTGTCATCTATAGGCTCATTTCCTATTACATTATACTGATCTGAAGAACTCATCCTTTCTTCTTTGTCAAGATCTTCTTCTATCATAATATCCTTCTCTTCAATTCCAGGTCTTAATTAGTCAGAATGAGTCATTAAGCTTTTTCTTTTCTTTGATACAATGGATGTATTATGTCCTCCAATCAACATTACACTGTCTTTGCTCTTTCTCTTCTTAATTTGTTTTACAGTTTAACTTTTTTTATTTAACACTTTCTCTGAATTTGTTACTGAAGCTATCTAATTTTTCTCTCTTTTTTTCTCTTGTTTTTCACTTTAATTTTCTTTCTTTTTTTGAAACTATCTTAATTCTTACTTGTATTTTCTTTCTTTCTGAATTTGTTTTTGAATCTATCATCTCTCTCTTTCTTAATTCATTGCTGAATCTACCCTCATTTTCTCACCTGCTTTCTTCTTAATTTGCTTTTTAAGCTCTCTCTTTTTTTTCTTCTTTTATTAATTTACTTATTCTCTCTCCCTCTATTTTGTAATTTGTTTTTCAACCTATCTTTTCACTTTTTCTTAATTTGTTTCTGATTTCTCTCTCTCTCTTTTTAATTTATTTTTCAGTCTATCTTCTTTTCTCTCCCATTCTCTTTTTCTTAATTTGTTTCTGCCTTCTCCCAATTTCTCTTTTTTATTTTTTTTCTATTTTCTTTCTTTTTCTTAATTTATTTCTGAATCAATCCACTTTCTCAGTGATCTTCATTCTCTGCCATTTCATATGGAACCTTTCTGTCAAAGGATCATCTGATGGAATGAAATCCAATTTAATTAGCAAATATTGGCATTTCTGAAAACTTACCCTATAAACAATGTTATATATATATAAAAAGCTTATTTTACATCTCCTGTTTGTGTTTGAATCTACTCATTCCCTCACTTGTGTTTTTCTCACGTTTTCTTGTTTTATAGACTCTCTGAATACATCAAATGTATTCCTACATCATGATCTCATACCTTTTGCTAACATCTACTGGCTCAAAGCTCTTATCTTTGCCACAATAACAGATCAATAATTTGATTCATTAATTTATCAACATTCATTCCACAACCTGTTGATTTTATAAGTTCACCAACTTTTAGCCTTGACCCATCATATTGTTCCTATGCAGTCTCATTCCTGATGCTGTACCAGCTCTACTTGACATGCCAGAATTCAGGTGGAACTCATATATAAACAATTGTTAAAGATGCTGGAAAAATGGTTGATTCATTCTATCACTGCTGGAAGAATCAGACTCTTCCTGCTACAAGAGTCTGATTTGACCAAAAATAGTTTATTGCTGCCATATCTAGGCTGGAGTTGCTCAATTTACTTTCCACCTTTGATGATAGAGTTTGTAGGAAGACTTATTTTTTTTTACTCTCCAACCACTTTCTTATGGATAAAACTTTGCAATTTATATTTATGTTGTAGCATACCTACAGATGATAATGGGTATGTCCCCATTCACATAAATACAGTAGTAAATACTGTATGTTGGTGTGCAGTTGGAGATTCATTGTGGAATTCACTTGACTCACTTCTAGCAGTTGACTACTTCTATGCACCACTGGTGAATCTTATATGTGTTTTCTTGTCCTAAGTATTATCGTTCATTACCAACTTTTGTGTGGTTATTCTATTCAGTAACCTTTCCTAGATTACAACAATTCCTTAACATATTGTCATACTGTTACATCCATTGGCTTCTCACCATGCAGTTCCTTTGAAAGTATTGACTCTACACTGATAACTAAAGTCATGATATAGTTATATATAAAAGTAATGGTAACTTGTGTCACCAGACCTTGATATCATGAAAATAACTATTTCTGATTGAGTATACACACTTGCTGGGCTGCTCATGGCAAGATGATATGGTTTAGTGGAAATAAGACATGATACAGATGAGACATTCCATTTTTGAAATAATTAGTAGAAAGTATTACCACCCACTGTTGACAGCACATTGACGGACTACAAGTGCTTAATAGCTGTGACTTGAGGTGTCTGATTAAAACTGCTTGTGGTAACAGACACAGGCTCAAATCATATAATTAAATTATTTAAAGGATGATGTAGCAAACATACATCAAGCAGATCCATTCAGCATTCCTTAGGTTCCTTGGGATTTTGAAGCAAAAGAATCACAAGAGCCTCTTATTAACACCATGATAGCAGGTCAGTTCAGCATTCTTTAGCTTCCATGAGATATGGGAAGAAAAGACCCATCAAGGTGGCCATGTTAAGACAACAATATTGGATACAGTGCTCATCTAGGCTTGTGATATTGTTAAATGTGATAATGAGCATGGGTGAAATTGTCATGGTTTGAGTTCTGGGCTGATAGTAATGTTTGTGTGTTGTGCAGACCTCATAAGTCCATGGGCTCCAGTTGTTAACAAGGCATTGTGGTAGTTCCATGAATGTGTTTGGAGATGTTCTCGTGTCATGGCTTGTGGCTGCTGCTTCTACATACTGCATTCCTTCAGGACACAGGCAATCATGGTTCTTTTTATTTCATGGGGCTCTTAGCAGTTTTTCTCCCTTTGCTATGGATCCCGCCCCTATTCACTCAAGCAACAGTGTACTTACATTTTACCTACATTTATTGTCTTGCCAATACTTCCATTATTGTTGCTCTTTTAAATCAAGAAATCATGGTGTCATCAAACAAAGGCTTGTAACTTCAAGACTTTTGAAAACCAGCATCTTCAGAAAGATAATTAACTCTTGAAGAATTTTAAAAACCAATCTTTTCAGGAGTTGGCATTTTTGAAACTCAGTCAATAGGAAGAAACTAGCTTGTTCAAGAATTTGAAAAATCACATTTTCTTGAATTTTGTAAACATGACTTCTTGAAGAATTTTAAAAGCCAATCTTTTCAGAAGTTTCCTAATACAGATGCTTAGAGAGTTCTGAAAACAGTCTTTTTCAGAAAATGTAAAAGCCAGCTTCTTCACCAATTTCACAAGCTAGACTTTTCACAAATTTTTATAACTTGGTTTCCAGGAATTTTAGAACAAGCTGTTTCAGGAGTTTAGAAAGTTATAATTAATAAAAGGTCATTCATAAAATACCTTATAGTAAACTTGGTTTCCCAGAGGGAAAACATTCTAAATGTAGATGTTTCTATATGAGATCAAAAATTACTTTTTCATCAGCTCCAGTCAAGAATTTTCTCTTATTCCGACAGCAGAAATGATACCGTTTTATGTTTTAGTTATCTGAATTCCATTAACAATGCACTTGTACACTGTCTTACTATTTTCAAGTATTAAACTGTGATGTTCTTGTCCAGAACTTAATAATATTTGTAAACAAATGTCTTCCATGGAGACAAAATTTGCTTAATTATTTTTTTTTATTTACTGTAGGTACAAGATTACACTCTTCCAATAAACAGCAAAACAATGAGAATTCTATCACAAAGCAAGCAAGAGCAAATATTCCATTAATTCTGAACCTTACCAATTAATTTCCAGATTGGTAAATATCAGAAATAAATCCAAAAAAGAAGATCATTCTGGTTCCATGATGTGGATGGTTTTGCTTTTTTTATTCAATTAAAAACAATAGATAAAAAAAGAATAAAAAAAACAACAGACTGTTATAACTTAACCCAGAGACTTGGTACAGTCGAGTGGCAAGTCTTTGAGTGTTCTGGTAAGTTCTTCAATAATGGAACATGCCTGTTGAATTTTCCTGATTATTATTTCCCCTCTAGATCTATTACTTATCTATTTTTTTGTCCAGTATTCTGCCACTTAATTGCTGCAGTTTGCTATGTCTTCTGTTGAAAATGAGAATAATATATATTTTCTTATTTCTCCATCTTTTTTTTTTGTGGTGGTGGTGGGAGGATTCTTTTTCAATAGAGTTGTTCTGTGTCAGGTGGACATATTGAACCCCATTAAAATGACTAGCCATGAGCAATGTAGAAAAAAAAGGAGGAGGAGGAGAGAAAGGGGATGTTTAGAAATGCAGTGGGGTGTAAGAAGTAATGATTAAAGGAGGGTTAGCTAAAGCAGACAAAGGAGAAAACAAACCAGAAAGAAAAAAAGAAGAGAGAGAGAGAGAGAGAGAGTGTCTAAAAGAAAAAGTGATGTTTGTTAAGAGGCAGCAAAGAGAAGATGATAAGAAAATAAAGAATAAGAGTAGATCAGATTAAAAGTTAAAACTGTTTAGAATTAGAAAATAAATTATACAAAAGAATGAAACTATGAAGTTGAAATATATTTAAGTGTAGTTGTTATGAAGATCTAATTTACCTCGTACTTGTAAAATCAGCAAAGACATTGTGGGGTAGTTATAACTCTGAGTAAATAATTATAAACCCCCTCACATTTATATATACAGAAATACCCATAAAATGAAAAACAGCAAAACATGGAAACAACAAAACAAGTATTATTAATATCTGGTTGTTGTGTGGTATTGGAGACACAAGAGACAGCAATACTGGCTAAAATTGTGAGTTTGGAGTCAAATGACGATCAGATATGGATCAGAATCTGGCAGAATTAGAAAATAAATAGTAAGTAAAGGGTTTACAGTCTTTCTCCTATTTCCTTTTGTTTTTCTTTTTTTTTATAGAGATGTGTAATGTGTTTCCAGATAATTTAATTTAGTAAAAAAATAAAATGCCTGGAGTTTCCTTACCTCAAATCTTTGTTGAGTATTAGGAGATAAATCTTACCATTATTGGCTGAAAAAGGAAAATGAGTTGAAATTTTAGCTGATGCATGTGTTGATGGCCTGTTTATGTTGACTGCTTGTCTGATAGAAAGAATGTCACATGTTTATGCATGTAGAAGAGAAAAGTGGGGTTGATTTTCATTGGTTTAGAATGAGTGGATATATGATAATTATAAATATTATAATTATGTTTTTTGACACTATAATTAATACCATAAATAAAAAAAAATAAGAAAAACCAAGCAAAACAATACAAGAAGTGAACAATGCAAGGCAAGACAATAAGACAACAGCAAAGTAAAGCATTTATTAGTGAAAAAGAAACACTTTTCATACACAAAGTAAAGCATTTATTAGTGAAAAAGAAACACTTTTCATACACAAAGTAAAGCATTTATTAGTGAAAAAAAACACTTTTCATACACAAAAGTAAAGCATTTATTAGTGAAAAAGAAACACTTTTCATACACAAAGTAAAGCATTTATTAGTGAAAAAGAAACACTTTTCATACACAAAGTAAAGCATTTATTAGTGAAAAAGAAACACTTTTCATACACAAAGTAAAGCATTTATTAGTGAAAAAGAAACACTTTTCATACACAAAGTAAAGCATTTATTAGTGAAAAAGAAACACTTTTCATACACAAATGGGATACACTCAAGTGGTTCTGACCTGATTTCAAGCCAAGAAAGAAAAAATGTGTGGATAAGACCAAGAACTGTTCATTTTTATT